GTTCTTCCGCTTCCATGATATTGACTCCACCACCCTGCATCTGCTGATTGAGATGATTGAGAGCTGCGAATATATCAGCCATGTACGCTAAAATGAGAATGAACTCAGGATTTTTGAAGCAATCTGCATGGCAGTGTTGGTGCTCTTGCAAAAACAGGGCTAATTCCACACGCATGGCAAAAACACGATTCAGCACCTGTCCCCGGGATAACCACCGAATATTAGAATGGAGCAGAAGTACCTCAAATTCAGAGCCCATTTCTTTACACAGCTCACTGAAGATGCGGTGCCTCAGAGCACTTTTTCGCACATAGTTCACACATTCCACCACAGTTTTTAATACTTCTGCCATTTTTGGAGGTAAGGTTTTTGTTGCCAACGCATGCCTGTGCAGAATACAATGCGTCACAATGATGTGTGGTGCATCGGCCTTTACTAGCGCACCAAAACCAGACTTTCTTCCCAGCATGACTGGAGCTCCGTCCGTACAAACTGCAGAAACCATATCCCATGAAAGATTGTTGTCTCTGAAGAAGTCATCCACAAGCTTCTTCACATCGGCTGCCTTCGTTGTTGTTGTAAGAGGCTTACAAAATAAAAACTCTTCTTTTATCATGTCGTCTTTCACATAGCGTACAAAAACAGCAAGCTGGCTTAGATCAGAAACGTCTGTGGTTTCGTCGAGTTGAAGGCTGAATTTTGCCGGGCTTGAAATCAGATCCGCGACTACTTGAGCCAAGATGTCTTTACTCATGTCTTCTATTCTGTCACTGACGGTGTCATTTGAAAGGGGAATTTGGGATAATTTACCTTCGGCCGCTGTTCCGAGTATCAGATTCGCCATCTTTAATGCAGCTGGTTTCACAAGTGTTTCACCAATGGTGTGTGGCTTGCCCTGCTTTGCGATCAGGTAAGCAACTTCGTACGATGCTGTCAGGATCGGTTTGTTAACAGGTACAAATCCAAGAGCAGGCAAAGTGGCCCTTTCATCGAATCTGGCTCTCTTCACCCTGAATTCAGCAAGTGTTGTGTTCTTGTATTCCCCCGTCTCCATGCAGCTTCAAGAAGTGTTCCTTTAGTTTTGCCGGTGCAAGACTAGAGTTGCTCAACTTGGCGTTGCAAATCATGCAGATAGGACGCTCACTCCCATCACGTTCCGTGATACATGAGAATCCATGTTGTACATATTCGTCCGACCACTTTCTTCTTTTGCCCGACATAGTTAGTATGGATAAAATATTAAAGAAATCACACGACGTACGACAACAGTCACACGTTGACTACTGAGCACGCACTAAATTCCCCGCAGCGCTGATTGGCCAAGCAGTGTAGCATGATCATCTGCAGCCAGTGATGGCCAAGCGGGCCGTGTGTCATCACAAATTTACACAATAATTCAAGTGTGTCCGGACCTCCGTGGCGGGGGCTCTGCCGAACCCCTGAGATCGACTCACCGAACCCCTGGGGTTCGATCGAACCCAGGTTAAGAACCAGTGATCTAGACGCATCCAGCAGCATCCCACCTGGTGCGATGCTACAGCCGTACAAACGCTTATTCCTACTCGTGTGACGTCGTTCCCTTCCCTTGATTGCATTATATCAATTTCGCATCCGCGTTATAAAACAATTGTTTCCTAATACATTCATCGCATTATATCAAATTCACGTTGTGAAAACACGCGGCGTTATAGAACAAACTGTATATTGTAAGAACTCGATGGAAGCCACCGATGCCCCCACCATCATTGGGGCCGGCGGAATGGGCCACACGTGCCCATCGTCGTCCAGCTGACACCGGCCCTTACCCCGGAAGCACTCCGGGTGGACTCAATTGGAGCCAGCGTTCAGTTGTGGATTTGTATAGGTTTTTTTTGTTACATTTGCATGTAAATACATCATTAAATGTATGGCTTTTTTGTCAACCCACTGCTGGATTGGGTAACTTCCCCACACGTCTTGTGGATCGCTGGAGTTATTTAACAACACTTCACCATGCTCATTACTGCAGGTTTGTTTTCGACAATAAGCCATACACATTGTAGAATAGCGCTGTATAACAAATAGATTATATGCACTGTACTCTGCTAACGTCAGAAAAAAACTCCTGCTCACTCAAACTATTTTAGATTTGAAGTTTTCGTGACTGCAAGGATCCATACTCTGGTTCTTTCGGTAAAGTCACGTAGGTGAAAAATAAAATAAAAAATAGAAACAAATAAATCACGACGTTTCGATTGCAACGCAATCAATCATCATCAGGTGTGACAACCACAGCAATATTTTTTGTTACTTAAGTGGGAGAGATGCTGGAGTAAAGAGGGTTTATATAAGTCAAAGAGGGCGGTGGGGGGGGGAATGAGAGGGGGAGCGTTGCGTGTGCGATGATGGCTGGGAACATGTGACTGGGCAGAGAGGGGGGGGGAGTGGGCGGGGCTGTAAGTAACCTGACGCCTTGTCAGGTGCGGAGAGGAGAGCAAAACGGCTACACGATTGCCGTCAAGACAGATGCTGGAGCTCAAAACAAAATAGCTGCACTTTTGAATGTTGAGGATGTAATTAACTCGGGGAAATAGACTAGTAACCCAGTAAATAAGATGGAACTATGAACCGTCAAATTTTACTTGGCTAATAACATTTTTCCAATGATCACTCAATTTGTATCCGTCTTCTCGGTTGCAGTTACGTCTATGTTTATATATCTGGATGGCTTCATGAACAAATCTTCGATGGTAGCCAGACGGCTTGCAGAGCACCTTTGTCTCGGAGAAAACAATATGAGAGCCCACAACGTTATAGCAATGACCAGCAACGGCGGAGAAATTAGTTCTGCTATGTTTCAGATCTGACTTTTGTTCACGGATCCGGTCAGAGAAGACGGATACAAATTGAGCAATCATTGTAAAGATGTTATTAACCAAGTAAAATGTAACGGTTCATAGTTCCATCTTATTTACTGGGTTATTAGTCTATTTCACCGAGTTAATTACATCCTCAACGTTCAGCAGTGCAGCTGTTTTATTGTTTTGAGCTCCAGCATCTGTCTTGACGGCAATCGTGTAGCCGTTTTGCTCTCCTCTCCGCACCTGACAAGGCGTCAGGTTACTTACAGCCCAGCCCACTCCCCCCCCTCTCTGCCCAATCACATGTTCCCAGCCATCATCGCACACGCAACGCTCCCCCCTCTCCTCATTCCGCCCCCACCGCCCTCTCTGACTTATATAAACCCTCAACTCCAGCATCTCTCCCACTTCAGTAAAAAATATATTGCTGTGGTTGTCACACCTGATGATGGTTGCTTGTGTTGCAATCGAAACGTCGTGATTTGTATTTTTTTCACCTATGTGACTTTACGGAAAGAACCACAGAGTATAAAACTTTTATTTACCAGCGAAAGTTCCACTTAGCTATTGCATGTTTTTTTAGCGGCGGCCTGGCCACACAGAGAGCTGATCAAAGATGCTTATCACATGTGCGGAATTTATAGTAGCCAAATCTATACTAAAACTATGTTTTATTTTACCAGCCAAAGCACACTTAGCTATATAGCGCTTTTGCAGGAGTTACCGTGCCAAAAATGAAAGCACAACGAGGTGGCTGACGTGGAAAGCAGGCGTCAGGGTCCGGATCAAATCCGACCTCCTATAAGCCAGGCGATGTAATTAACATCTCGCCACCTTGGTGCCAAATAATCTAAATTCACGTTTCTCAATGTAGAGGGTATAACCGGAGGACCTGTATAGAATGCATGACGACCACCATGTGGAGAGGCAATGTGTGAACTCAATATATACAACACAGGCGTTGTAAGGGTCGGGATCAGACCCACGATCTGCGTACCAGGCGAGCTCCGATGTTTTGTTAGTGATGGTCAACCCATCCAAGTACTGTTCAAGCTCAACGATGATTAACTTCCGATAACCTGGCGTGTTTGGGCGCAATGCGGGTGATTTGGTCACGTACGTCGTTTTCACAATCACTGAAACAGCGGACAGTAATTTTTCTGTCTTGCGACTAAATCTAGAGGTAAAACCTCTTACATGACACTATATCTAAAGGTAAAACATTTGAACTGCCAGAGATCTGGAGGTAAAACCTCTGACTTGACTCTAGATATCTATATACAGATAAGTGTCTACAGCCGCCGTGTATAATCCGTATATAAAGCTGCTATGTGTATATAGGTATGTATAGCTTCTGCGTATACATCACTTGATATAATTAGTTACTACTTCAGCACACCGGTGTGTTGGAGAGTAAAGCCAAAACATTTACAATGACGACGTATCGCTGGTGATTACAACCCAGTTTGGAGTCTGCAACGCATCGTGCACAAACTTCACGCACACACGCGCCTTTACACCCCCCTCACCATTCACACACCCATTCAAAACAACACTTGCCGCAACAGTAGCCTGAACACTTGGGGCGAGTGCTGTTGAGTAGCACCTATGAAGGCAGGTTCGGCACACGAGGGGAAGGGTGGCCAACACTACGCCTGGCCGCCTTTGTCTCCGCAGTGGCGATGTTTTTACGCACCCACCAGGTACTTATTTGAGGCTGAGTCGACCTAGGGAAGGCCCAGGACCGGTTCAGATAATCGTCGCCGGTGTTGGCCGTAAGCGGGAATCGAACACGGGTCGCCAGATTCGTAGCGCAGCATAGCGCTGACCGCCACACTGCCGCTCCCCACCCATTCACACACCACACCAACACAAACGCCATTCGCCACGAAGTGAAGGTTGACGTCCCCACGGCGCTTGTGCCAGGACAGGTGCACTTTGAGGCTACGTTAAGTGTCATAGGCTCACTGACAGGTCTCTTGAAAAGACCCAGGTGCCATGGGTTGGCCGACTGAGATGAGTGGTAGCTGCACCAGCTGTACCCCCTACTGTACCAACGACACACACGCACCCCATTCACACACACGCACCCAATTACACCCCATTCACGTGTCTGTAAAACAATAACTCCACAGGGCACGTCTTTGTGTAACAACGCACCTGTGAAGATGCGCGCAGGAACAAGACGATTTGCTCGCGAATGTCGTCGTGAGTCTCGTTGGTTACGAGCCCCGGGAACGGCTCCTTGAGCTCCTTGCAGGGGACTCGGGCCAGCATGTTCCGCCTCTGCTTCTCGCCCAGGTGGCTCAAGTTTCCCAGCGCGGGAAAGCGAGTCCAGTCCAGGACCTCGGTGCCGCCGCAGACGACGTAGCTGCCGTCGAAGAGCGCCAGGATGGGCCACGCCATCGCGGCGAACATGAACGTCACGTTCCTGAACAGGGACGCGCCGACGAAGAACACGAACCGGCAGCAGCAGTTGTCGCAGCCGTACTTCCTTGCCAGGGTCTCCGCGGCTCTGAGGGTGGTGCACAGTTGAATCGTGAAGCCCACGACTGAGACGACTCCGAACGGCGCCGCCAGTGCCCAGAGCGTGTAGCTCCAGTTTTCTGGCGACGTGCAGGGGCAGTGGAAGGCGAAGAGGCCGAACAGGGGCTGAGCGCACGCGATCATCACGGGCATGAGCACGCCCGTGACGAGACTCGGGATATAGTCTCTGAGAGAAGACGCCAGCTTGAACAGGGAGCCCAACATTCGCCCCGCCATGGTTGTATAGGCCCACCCGCTTCGCCGTTGCTGCAATGAAGAGGCTGCACGGGGTGCCAGGGGAAAAAAAAAGGTCCGCGCCCTTCTCGCGGGACCGGTCCGACCGAGTCCCCAGCGGATTGTGTCGAACGCACGACAATTTCTCACACAGTTGTCGTGGTTACGCATAACTCTGAATGTGCAGTCACGTGTACTGTACATGATTATTAGATTGAAACCAACTTCTTTTAAAAAAATGCCTTTTACGTTTAGTTTTTGTCCTTCTCCACGCACCTCCGATCAGCACGGTTGGCAACTTACTGTGCGAAAGAAGTATGACTACACTTTACCCAGGAAAGCCCGACTCTCCAATCTTTTTTTTAAGACGATCCTGCCAAATTTTCGAAGTGGGGTGAGGGAGCGATGTATCCTGTATTTATACTCTACGTGTAATCCCAAAGTAGTGTGCCAGCACCAGTTACATTCTGCATATCAAGTTTCATTTATTAGGTATAACCCTGTGAGCCATGCATCTCTTGAGTCGGGTGCAACGGCAACAAACAACATATGAACAGAGAACATCTTAAAACGACGACGCGCAACAGAAACATCCTGGACAAACCAGCAAATCTTCCAAACCCCCCCCCCCCCCCACCATATTACAACGCTGTGTGCAAAAATCCCAGTGTGATGCAAGTCAAACAATAACAACCATGAGACAATTTAGATTAAAGTTCAGGCCAACTCCACACTTCCGCAAGAAACATGGCTTAACCATGTTTTAAAAAGCATCAAAATAAAGGTATAAAACAATGTAACAACAGTAATCATAAGAACTGTGATCCAAATTTAACAATAAACGATATACATAACATGTACTACCAAACTTGCAGCCATACAGTGAGGGAAAAAAAGTATTTGATCCCCTGCTGATTTTGTACGTTTGCCCACTGACAAAGAAATGATCAGACTATAATTTTAATGGTAGGTTTATTTGAACAGAGACAGACTAACAACAAAGAAAATCCAGAAAAACGCATGTCAAAAATGTTATAAACTGATTTGCATTTTAATGAGGGAAATAAGTATTCGACCCCCTCTCAATCAGAAAGATTCCTGGCTCAGGTAACGAGCTGAGATTAGGAGCACACTCTTAAAGGGAGTGCTTCTAATCTCAGCTTATTACCTGTATAAAAGACACATGTCCACAGAAGCAATCAATCAATCAGATTCCAAACTCTCCACCATGGCCAAGACCAAAGAGCTCTCCAAGGATGTCAGGGACAAGATTGTAGACCTACACAAGGCTGGAATGGGCTACAAGACCATTGCCAAGCAGCTTAGTGAAAAGGTGACAGTTGGTGCGATTATTCGCAAATGGAAGAAACACAAAAGAACTGTCAATCTCCCTCAGCCTGGGGCTCCATGCAAGATCTCACCTCGTGGAGTTGCAATGATCATGAGAACGATGAGGAATCAGCCCAGAACTACACGGGAGGATCTTGCCAATGATTTCAAGGCAGCTGGGACCATAGTTACCAAGAAAACAATTGGTAACACACTACGCCGTGAAGGACTGATCCTGCAGCGCCCGCAAGGTCCCCCTGCTCAAGAAAGCACATACATGCCCGTCTGAAGTTTGCCAATGAACATCTGAATGATTCAGAGGACAACTGGGTGAAAGTGTTGTGGTCAGATGAGACCAAAATGGAGCCCTTTGGCATCAACTCAACTCGCCGTGTTTGGAGGAGGAGGAGGAATGCTGCCTATGACCCCAAGAACACCATCCCCACCGTCAAACATGGAGGTGGAAACATTATGCTTTGGGGGTGTTTTTCTGCTAAGGGGACAGGACAACTTCACCGCATCAAAGGGACGATGCACGGGGCCATGTACTGTCAAATTTTGGGTGAGAACCTCCTTCCCTCAGCCAGAGCATTGAAAATGGGTCGTGGATGGGTATTCCAGCATGACAATGCCCCAAAACACACGGCCAAGGCAACAAAGGAGTGGCTCAAGAAGAAGCACATTAAGGTTCTGGAGTGGCCTAGCCAGTCTCCAGACCTTAATCCCATAGAAAATCTGTGGAGGGAGCTGAAGGTTCGAGTTGCCAAACGTCAGCCTCTAAACCTTAATGACTTGGAGATCTGCAAAGAGGAGTGAGACAAAATCCCTCCTGAGATGTGTGCAAACCTGGTGGCCAACTACAAGAAACGTCTGACCTCTGTGATTGCCAACAAGGGTTTTGCCACCAAGTACTAAGTCATGTTTTGCAGAGGGGTCAAATACTTATTTCCCCTCATTAAAATGCAAATCAATTTATAACATTTTTGACATGCGTTGTTCTGGATTTTGTTGTTGTTATTCTGTCTCTTACTGTTCAAATAAACCCACCATTAAAATAATAGACTGATCATTTCTTTGTCAGTGGGCAAACGTACAATATCAGCAGGGGATCAAATACTTTTTTCCCTCACTGTAGCTAGCAGCATGACACTCCCAGTATATGTGTGTGTGAGTCAGTGGTAGTGTGAGTGTATGATGTGTCAGTGTATGATGTGTGAGTGTATGATGTGTGAGTCAGCGTATGATGAGTGAGTCAGCGTATGATGAGTGAGGGAGTCAGTGTAAGATGAGTGAGTGTATCACGGCATTCTCCCTGCCATCGTGGCCTCCTCGCCACTATGCGAATAAACTGGAGAATCCGGAGGAAACCCATGAAGAACAGGGGGTAAAACGTACCAACTCCCCACACAAAGGCGCTCCAGTTGGAAAGCGAACCACGGGTCCTTCTTGCTGTGAGGCACACGCGGTAACTACTGCACCAACCCATGTGCAGTTACGCGAACTGTATGTGCAGTCTCGGGGTGGTGACATGGCCGAGTGGTCACCCAGTTACCATTATTGTAGAGGTTCACGGTTCGAAGCAAGCCGTAAAAAAATTCACCGTTTGTGGACGTTAGAGATCCCCATGAGGGGCAGGTCAGCAAGTTACAACAATCGAGTATAAATACAGGATACAAGAGTGCAATAAGAAACAGAAAATTTAAGCAAGTCATCTTCTATCTATCTATATAAAAGTCAAAAATTGTCTGTTTGTGGGTTTGTGTGTGGCTTTGTGTGTGGTCACGCGCTTGCGAAGGATATGGCTCTCCAATGGTGGGGTTTATGTTAAATAAAAATATGCAGGTACCACGCCGTAAGCCCCGCCGTGAGCAAGCGCAATTCCTTTTTCACATCCGTCAATTTTAAATTAGTTTAATTATCGATTTAGTGTGATTTTTGCGCGCTATCTCTTTATTTATTACTAGCGGGAAGTACCCGGCGTTGCCTGGGCAAAAAAGACAGACACACACATCGACCCACACACACAAAGACATCGACTTACAACAATCGCCATTCGCCACTAAGTGGCGGTGACGTCACCACGACGCTTGTGCCAGGCCATGTGTGCCTTGAGGCCACGTGAAGTGTCGAATGCCCGCTGGCAGGAGGTCACGGGGCAGACCCAGATGCCACGGGTCGACTGACTGAGATGACTAGCTGATGTACCACTTGTGCCCTCTACTGTGCCAACTTGCTGTGCTTTAGTTATCTGGCGCTCCACTCATTGTTGTGAGCATCGCTTCTCCGCCCTCCGTTGTTGTTGAAGGGCGACTGCCTCCAAATGCCCAGTAGCGTCCTTCACGAGCCTCCTCCACTGAGGCCAATCTTTACACCGCTGGTACCAGTCATTGGCAAGTCCACTCAGCTCCACGTCCTCCTGTATCACATCACTCCATCTCTTCTCTAGCCCGTGCCGTGCCCGTTTAGCCCCCTCTATCCAGCCGAACAAAAGCTGTTTAGGCATGCGGTGGCTAGGCATGCGGGCTACATGGCCCAGACAATGCAGCCTTGCCTGCCGGAGGAGCTCACCGATGGGACTTTGCCCAGATCTTTGAAGGATTTGTGAGCTCCTCACACAATCCAGCCTGGTTAAACCCAGGATGGATCGTAGGCAGGCCAGCCTAAATGTTTCTAACCGGCGAAGATGTTACTTACACACACACACACACACGGACTCACACACAGACATCGACTTTAGATACACACACATGGAGTTACACACACACATGGACTGACACACACATGCACCTACACACACTAAGAAATGGACTGACACAATCACATTGAGCCACGCACACACATGTGTAATGAGAGAGCACACCGACATACGGAGGGCTGCATAGGCATTGCCGCATCGGTCATAGCCAATCAGGGCTATGGATTCGATCTGGGCCAAAGTTCATGGGCGGAGCTCAGGGGTACATGCGGAAACCAGGGAAAAGGTTCTGAAGGGGGCGTGGTTAGAGGCGGGGCTTTGCTCCGCCAAGGAGGATATAAGGAGAGGCAGGAGGAGGACTCAGGGTTCGGTGTGGAAGCCTGGGTCCGGACTGCATCTCCGCCATCTCGTCAGCCACCGACCACGTGGCATCGGCGGGCGAAGCTCTCCCGATTCCCGACGCGCCGTTGACCAGCGGTGCGCGGGGAAGCGAGAGCAAGGGAAGCCGCGCGGGAACAGAGGAGCAGAGAGCGCGTGCATGCGGCAAGAGAGAGAGAGGGTGACCATCTAAAGAGAGTGCGGAGCCGAGCAGTCATAACTAATAACAAAAAGACGCAAGTCTAAACGTGTCATGGAAGTTTATTACACATGGACTGACACACATATCGACTCTCACACACACACATGGACCCCCACACACACCACACGCACATCGACTCACACACACACATGTAGTTAGACATAAGATTTAGCAATGTACAAACTGTCTTCTTTGTTTTTTTCGGTAAAGTCACGTAGAATGACAATAAAAGAATAAAATAAAATAAGACAATAAAATTCTCACGACGTTTCGGCCAGGAACAAAACTGTCGGGACAGTTCTGTTCCTTCACCTGAAGAAGGCTACTTGTGTTGTGGCCGAAACTTCGTGAGAATTGTATTGTCTTATTTTATTTTATTATTTTATTCTCATTCTACGTGACTTTACCGAAAGAACCAAAGAAGATGAATCCTTGCAGTCACGAAAGCTTTAAATCGAAATGTACAAACTGATTTGTTAAATGTTAGTTGTGTACACACACACCACGCACACACATTGACTCATGCACACACACAGGGACTCTCACATACGTCGACTCACACAACAACAACCGTCATTCGTCACTAAGTGGCGGTGACGTCACCTTGAGGCCACGTGAAGTGTCGAACGCCTGCCGGCAGGAGGTCACGGGGCAGACCCAGATGCCACGGGTCGACTGACTGAGATGACTGAGATAACTGGCTGATGCACCACCTGTGCCCCCTACTGTGCCAACTTGCTGTGCTTTAGCCACCCGGCGCTCCACTAGTTGTTATGAGCGTCGCTCCTCTGCCCTCTGTTGTTGTTGGAGGGCGACTGCCTACAACCACCCTGTAGCGTCCTTCATGAGCCTCCTCCACAGAGGCCGATCTTCACACCGCTGGTACCAGTTATCGGCAAGTCCACTCAGCTCCACGTCCTCCTGTACCACATC